ATTCAATGAATTTTTTTCCTAAGTATAATTCCTTATACACTAATTGAAATTCTAGGATCTCTTTATAGCCGTACGCCGACGTAAAAACATCATCACTGTATAGGAGAATTGTCATGAATGAAAGTAATTCAAAAATAAAAGTAAGTATATAGACCAGTGTCGATAGCTTTTAAAACATAAAAAAATATAGTAGGATGAAACCCATCAGAAAAGGAGAGGCATATTATAAAAATTAAAGGAAAAATAATTTCCGGGCGATCTGAGATCGGGAAAGGTGGGGGTGGATATTTGAGGGTTAAAAATGGATTTTCACGATTTCCGGCAAAACTAAAAGTCTTAGGGGAAAAAGTTATATGGCAATGTTGTAGGAAATAAAAAGATCTAAAACTTTTGTTTTAACATTTTTTTGTCAAAAATTCAATGTGAAAAATTCAAAAAACCTAGTATTTTGTTTTTATTTTTATCTCTTCTAAAAAACATTTTTTTGTCATGAAATTTGGTAAAAACTTAGTTTTTGATGTTAGAAATGCACTGTAATTTATTTGATTAGAAATATTTATTTTTTCAGCTTATTTTGAATAAATACCGAAAAATCAGCCTCATTTTCAATCCAAAAATTACCCGTCATATTATCAGCCTTTTTCAAAAATTTTGTATGTTTTTTGTTTGTTAAAATCTCTATTTTCCGATGGTGAAGAAAAAAATATAAGTTTCTTACTTACAGTACCATTTTTAGATAAAATAATCCTGTCCCTTTTACTGAAACTACACTCTATATCGTTTGGAAAATGCTGCTTCAATTTATTTTTAATAGTTTTAGCAGCTTGATGTCAATTTTCTATAAATTACCTAAAAGAGGGACTATGTGGAGAACTTCCAGAGTACACAATTATTAAAAGTAAATCAAATTTTTGCATATCATAATTTTTTCGATTAGACAGCTTTATTCAATATTTCTAAACAAATGTAAGCTCTCCTAGTATTCAAAATATAACGATAACTTATACTATCAATTGTACAGAGTTTGTAAATAAATATGTATTTTATAAATTACATATACAACTTTTGTATAAATAAACTTATGTTAACAAAGAAAATATGTAATCTTGTTTAATCAATTTGTAGTTTTAATAATAAATTCCGAAAATATAGGCATCACCAACGATAGTTGCCAATTCTAAGCGAATTTTTGTTTCTCAAAAAGTAAGAAAAAATAATTTTATAAGAATGAAAAAAAAGGATATTCTAAAATCTGTTTCATATTTTTTCTTATTACTGAAACTTTTCAATAAAATTAGAATCCAAAATATGATTCTAGCACACCATTTACAAAAAACTTCATCTATAGTACCTAATTTCATTACTCTATGATGTATCTTGAAAAGCGATAGAATAGTAAATCACATGCTGGGACTGATTCTATAGAATATATATACTTGTATAGCGGTCATAAATATATGTATACTACAAAAAAAGTAATCATAGAATTTATCTACTTCGAAGTAGTATGAAAAACTAATAAAATATACAATTTCTTTAAATCTTAATCTTTAATAATATAAAAGATTTTATAAATACATACATAGTTATATATTTAGTACGTATATAACCCGAACAGAGTCAGAAAACACAATTTTAACCCAAGCCCACAACAACAAGAGAAAATTTGTATAATTTTATAGTGTTCGAGGTACAGTTTCAGTCTAGATTTTTAACGTTAAGCGTTTCTACCAGTCATAACTGGAAATCCTACAAAATGGCTGGAGTCCATATATAATAGTTTTCAAATGCAAGTTGATATTTAAATATTGCCATTACCAAATTACAAAGGTTCAGTATTATAATTAATTTTAATCCGTAATTAAAATTATTCTAAGCATTAAAGTATATTATAATAAGTACGGCACAGATGGCGCACTTGTAACAAAAGATCAAATTCAAATCATTCATAGAATGAGATAATAAATAGATTTTACATTATATAACTATATTTGAAACAATAATGTCATCGGACACGGGTTTTTGTGTTCATTGCGTTACAAATTGATTTCATAACAGTTCTAAAACATTACGTGATAAATCCCACAAAATTTTCCTACTATATTATTGTTCTTAAAGTTGCTATACCAATTATGAATTCGAATAAAACATATTATTTATTGTTTTTCTTTGTCTCCATCGAATATGAAGCTGGAAGGTATTTTTAGAATTTCAATGAACAGATCCTTTTGAAATTGCTTAAATATGAATAACACACTTATCCATTTATAACTATCTTTGAATGTTAATTATAATTTATGTTTGTATACTATCAGGTAGAGTAAGCCATTTTGAATGCTTATTTTAACTAAGAATACATTAAGAAAATTGAAACGTATTTGAAACGATTTGGTGTTAAAATTGAGTAGTTTGTAGATGATCTTTTATGTTGTCAATTTATAAATTGTTAAGAATTTAATTTCAAATATAAATTACATTATTCAGCTATTCGGCTAGTGGGAGATTTAGCGCCTGTCCAATTTTATGAGCAATAAATTGCTGTGTACGTTATGAGATTTTGCTATTATTAAAGTTATTTTAAATTAAAATCTAAGAGACCGAGGTATTTACATTTTCAATTATCTTTAATAGGGAAACAAGAAGATGTTTGTAGAGAGGCTTAAAATAGGCAAGAACTAAGGATCTAAAAAATCATTGATATAATATTTTTCAAGTAATTTATTACTTTCTACTCCTTAAAAATGTTGAATAAGATTACGTCTTACGTATTAAATAAATAGTAACCACCATTCAATAATACTTATAAAACAATTAAATTTAAAAGACCTAAACATGCAAGTGTTGTTAGCGGGGCATTTGATAAATTTGGAGCTCTGTTTCCTCTAAAACAATAATTTACTCTAATGTTTTTCAGAGACTTTACCCCTGAACAATTTGAAAATTTTAAATTAACTCATTATGTTAGCAAAGTGAAGAAAATAGCAGACAAAAAGATTATATATATTATAGATATATCAAAAAGCATGCAACATCTTTGAGTGTTCCAGAACCTACCTTGATCGTCAGAAATTAAAAATTTTACATAGCGCATGTAAGCGTGTTTTTATAAGTAAAAAGAAATATTAAACAATAGAACTTTGCTAAAAACCATGTATAGTATATAGATAACTGCCTTATATACCATTTTGAAGTCATACAACCTAATTCCTCAAAAGAGAAAACACCAAGTGGATGCAATGACGAATAGAAATGAATTTTGACGCAGAAAGTAATAAGAGCATTGATTGCAGCAAGGCAATTTATACCACACACGTCAACATTAAAAAAAACTACGAAAAACTACAAAAATTGTGTTATATGAAGTCTAGAATTTTTATACAAATATTATTGCGCTTCGTACTACGCCATATGCAACCTTGGAAGTTGTACCTATCCTAAAATACAATGAAAATCATACATTTTCTTTCATTTTATAAAATTTTGTGACTTAATTTTTTATGATGAATTACTAATAATAATTGTTTTTTTTAATCACATCATTAGGACATACTGTTCTTTTGGCGAAAATAATATATAGGTGCTTAGTCCTAACTACTAAATCAGTAATAAAATGAATGAATCATAATTGTTAAGAATCAATGCTCTCTTATTTATCCTAAAACGATAATTGGCCACACTTATCGATCGGTAAAAATTTTAAGAATGTTAATTTATCACTGATTTCATAATTTAAAATACTTTAAATATATTAAATTTCTGTCCATTAAGATTGTTGCCAAGATCTTTAAAACAGACTTTAGTATTTGAGTTCAAATTCAAAACTCCTCTTCCACACCGTGACAAGATTTTAATAATTTATAGTCAATCCAGACACAATTCAAATTTGTAAAATTATGTATCTTACAACTAACTTTTACTAATTAAAAAAAAATCTTTTAGAGTAATATTTTTTTGAGATTAATGATTTTCGCGAGTTTTATTCGTTTAAATGTTTAAATTGTTTAAATTTCTAATTATATTACGCGACTTTTTTTTGTAAAAAACTACATACTCCCGACGTTTCGGCTGCTTTTTCGTAACCGCGATCCGAAAAATAATAGTTTTTTAAGTGTGTTGAAATAAATGACATACCAAAATACCGAATAGTTAAATTTATCTTTACTTAAAATTTACTCATATAGATTTTAGTATGAAAAATTAGTCTCAACTGAATTAATGTATTTGAAAAGTTCTACTATTTTATACAATACATTAAGTTTAATGGTAATCATGCTAATTTATACCTAATTTCATTCATTATTTTTTTTATTTTCTTTTAGATCTCTCTAACTTCAAAACCTTAAATCAAATATTTCTCCTATATTGTTTGATTCTTACGGAATAAAAATTATTTACAACAATTTCTGGATTTTCTTTAAAACATATTCCTGATTACGTCATTTTTTTTCTAATGATATATAGGAAGTTTATGAACAATTATTAATTGGTTCATCTAAATAATGAATCATTAGTAAATTGAACAAAATAAATACATATATAAAGGTTCATTACGGGAACATTTACAAATTTATTACTTGTGTGTAAGCAAAAGGACGGCCTAGTCGTGAGTATTTTTAATTTCTATTATAGATTAATAAAACAACAAATATATTAACAATATATCCAATACAAAAATCTTTAAGTTTTAGAATTATTCTGTTAATGGTTATTATTATGATTTTAATGATTTCAAAGCATAAACACATTTTCGTACATTTTCGAGTATTTGTCTGTCTATCGGTTTAAATATTGTTTTCCTTTGGGAAACATGTAGACTATAAAATAATATTTCTTTTATAGCTCGAAAATCAAACAAAAAAAGACAAGAGCACATCTGATAACAAGTAATTAATAACAAATAATTGCGATCTTGATGGATAATACTTGGAATCGGTTTACTTAGTAATTCGTATAATAATGAGTAATTAATTAACTATCAATATTTTATTCATATTTTTCAGATGTATCGCCAGTTATTTTTAGCTTTAACACTCGTGATTACACTTTGCAAAGTGAACGCGCAGGCTGAATCCGGATATATGAATGAAAATAGCAAGCGTGAAGCTCGTTCAATAGCCCTGGTTGAAGAAATTATACATTCCTTGATTTCAAATGGTTTAGGAGGTTTAAAGCCAATAATACGTATGATAAGGAATCAAGTTAGAGAAATTATACTTGATCTCTTTTTTCAGTTAATAAAATTCTTAAGGTCCATATTGCATGAATACAAGATAATGATTTTTAAGAGACTTGGAAATTACACTCTGTCGGACGTATTTCATTTCTTATTTGATGGCATCTTTGAATTTGTTGGTGGAAACGAAATTGGAGTATATTCAGGAGAAGGAAGTTTAGCAGAGGCTTCGAGTAGAGAACAAAATGCCGAATATCCAAATCCAGTGTTGCTGGAGAGACTTATTAGATTAGGAGAAAAAAAGTAAAAGGAGACTTAAAGAAAAATAATGAGTTCGTAAATTAAATAAAAATGTTGGAGCCTAGATCACGTTTTCTTTAAAATAAGCCTTGAGTTTGAGTTTATATTGTCAATGATTACGTCTTTTAATAAGTTATTTTGTGTTCCATAAACAACACAGACCAATGTTTGAATAAAAATTTTGTATCATCAATTTTGTTTTCTTTTGACTTGACTCAAATTCACATTATTATGTGCTTGGGCAAAGTTTTATAAATACTGAAGGAAGTAGTACATATCATCAATAGTTTAATAACGTTAAACAAAACAATTGATATTTTTAAACTGCAGGCGAATAATATTTTATTCGATTTCAATGAAATCATACTTATATAATATACTAATGTTACTAGACAACTTTAGATTATAAATGATTATATTTTATAATATTACTACTAGGGCAAATCTCCTCCGAAAAGTTTTTTGCCGAATTTACACATGCGGTTGAGTTCAAAAAGCAGTGTATTTCTTTATAATTGCTTCAAAAAAGTTGAATACCTTTAACCATGTGTTGGATTCAAAGCATATCGTGTATTTTATACAGTATTAATGCTTATATTATATTAAAGTATAATTATGGGTCTAAATATGTACTATAGTACTCTTGTGTAGTCATATTCCTAGCCTTCTAGTTAGCACGCGGTTAAATTGAAATTGATACTGATATTAAAACATCTATTTTAAATTTTCTATTTTATACTTCTTTGCATGCTTAAGTATATTTCTTTCTTTTTTTTCTGTTTTCATGTGTAACTACACAACAACTCTTGCTTTTTTTCTCCTCTATCAAAAGGATTTCTGGCAGAAAACTGTTTTAAAGATAAGTATTGCTTTATGTATCACATTTTTTTTAATACTGTTATTATTAATATTTTTGGTACGTTAATAAATATATAAATGTTTTAGTCTAAACAAATATTGGTTTTGTATTTATTACTTCAAAATGACTACTTCTGAATTTTAATAAATAAATGTTATTTTAAACCTAAGCAAGCTTTTAACAGACTAAACCTCAATTCATTTTGTTTTCAGTAATATTAATTTGTCAGTAACTTTTGCAAACCATAAAAAAATCTTGACGACTATCCGAATCGATTGAAAACTTCTTATTATTTTGGATGTTGATAAAAATGTGTCATAATGACTAGATTGTTATGTGAACGCTGAAAATTGTAAAAATATCCATTTTATCATATTGAATACAATTGATTGATTATAATGGATGAAACCTTTTTTTAGTTAAATTTCTTTATTACTGATTGACTGGTTCTGTGTAACGTTAGTATGTTGCATACCATCATTCGGCATTCGTTTCGTTAGATGTAAGATTAAATTAAAGATATTTTACATAATAAATCTATATTTAATTTGTTCGATGCACCCACTGTATACATACAAAATGACTTCAATTATATACAGCTTTGAAATCAATAAAGATCTGATGATGATTTTAAAGGTTATCACAAGGATGTAATCTACACTAGTCTATACCAATAATTTAACAAGGTAATGATTGTAACTTTGTACATCGTGACAAATCTTCGTAATAACTTATTCGATCTATATTATCATGGGTATTTCTGTATGTTGATAAATATTTATTATGGAATTTCCAATTTAAAATAGTAAATAAATAATACTAAATAAAAAACAAGTAATTTTTAATTTCGACCGAATTTGCAGTCAGTTGAATGAAAATCGAAAGCGTTTTTATATGCGTACTTACCACACAGGACGGCTGAAAGATTTCTTTTAAGTTGTATAATGACTTGAAATGTGTGAGAATAGATGATTTTAATGCTTACCAAAACTTTCGATAGTTACGATATACAGGAACCACTTCCCGTTTCTTATTCAGTAACGTACTTAAATATTAATAGCGTGGAAAAATTTAAGAATGAAAAACTGTATGCAGTGTGATGATGCAATCCTGCGGTGAAGATTTTATATGAAAAAATGCAGTTTTTAAGTCATGACTATTGTTGTGGGTCATTTGTATTTTGTTTTTGATAGTGCATTTTATTCATACAGTTATAATTTAGAAAATGTTGAGAGGTATTCATTTTTCCATTTTCTTCGTACATTCGTTTACGTCGCTTCGCGTATTCGTATTGTTTTTTTAAAGTTAAGATAAAACCTCCGAATAAAATATAATATGCATTTTCTGTTTGTAAGAATTTACTAATAGAATAAATATGTTGAATTTATATAATCAAACTCATAAATTAATGTTTATAAAAAATAACAAAAAAAATTGCTGCTCTTTAATGAATTGGTATTTGTTTTAAATCTTAGTTTATAAAGAAATTAATAATATTTGTCACATTGTATCCAATTTGACCTCGGCGTTTGAACTTTAAGGAAACTACTTCAAGAGATCGAGTTTTTTTTTTAAATGGAGTATTATTATTTTGTATTTAAAAAGCCACTCCTTGCGTATGTAACCTGTATTCACACTGCTTAGTTTATACAAGAATTTGATTATTTTAGTAATTTGCAATTATATGAATCATCTTCTTTTACCTGGCAATTTCCCAGGTTTAGCCAGGGTCTGCCTTACATGTGGTGAATAGTTTTGGCTAATTGTTTTTACGACCGGCCGCATGCCTGACATTAACCTTCTTTGGGAATCAACTTTAATCAGTCATGTCTAAATATTCTTAGAAAGTACATATGACTCGGAAAAAGTCACATTGGTACTTGCCAGGATTGAACCCGCGCCCTCATGCATGAGAGGCGGGCATTTCAACCACTAGGCCACCACTGACTTAATTATATGAACAATATGAATATACTAACAGAATTAAAAATGCGAAAGTTTTTAATAGCGTACTCATAGAAGTATGTTACTTTTTCACAATTAACTATACCTATTGGTTTTGGTTTTTTTTTCATCTTATAAAATTTCAAGTTTGTAGATCTTATTAATCCTTTTAATAGATGTACTTTATATGTTTATAAGTAAATTGATATTATTCTTTATTATGGAATTTGACCTGCCATTATTTTATTTTATTTTTTTTCATCGCAATCAATAGTAGGGGTGAGGAAAGCAAATGGTCTAGTATATAAATTAATAAAGAGTATTTTCTACACTTAATGGAAAAAATTTCTAGACTTAAAATAATATTTAGGGACAGCAAAAAAGCTTGTAACAATCGAAGTCTATCAGATCAAATGTAACTCAATGCCTTAACTTGACCGTAAACAATTAGTATACTTTCAAAAAAACATTATTAATCAGCCTTGTTACCGTTTTATCATAAAATTAAATCTTTAATAGTCATTATTTATTGTGAAATAAATATAAAATAATATGTGACAAAGTAATAATTGGTCGAAATTCTGTGAGGATCCGAGATTTAACTGGTCATTTGGGTCATTTGCATTCAATCCGCGATAATGTATAGGCAAGGAGGTTTTTGCGACTCAGGGTCTCAAATCTATGAATAATCAATTTACCTATAAATTGCGAGACGGTATAACTACTTATTACACGGTCACGGTTATTATTTAAATAAATTTCCGCTATGCAGATGAATTGAGACGCAAAAAAATAAAAACGAATTGATAACCCCCCCCTTTTTGAAGTCGGTTAGTAAGATATTTTGGAAATTCAATATTATATTCGGTTTTAAAGAGGTTTATGGTCTTATATTTTCTATGAAACTATATTTAAAAAAAAATCGATTAGAAATTTTGAAACATAAAATGGCAATAAAATATCAAAATGGTACCTAATATTTGACGTAGTCTTTATGACATTTAAGATTTATTTCTTTCCAGACCCGGTTAATTTAATGAAAGCTGTTTTTCATCTCAGCCATATACAAAGAACGTTTTGTATTACAAACGGAATATATATTTAATACGAAAACAGATGAAATCTTTGTATATATCCAACACGTGTGCTTACGGTAAATTTACGTAAAACAAATGCCAGTATAATCCATTTAACTGTAGTAATAAAGAATCAAGATGGCAATTGAAATTCTAATCTCACATGTATTGCACAATATGACACGTTCCTTGACACGCCCTGACATTGAATTAACAGAGATTTCGGTGTACTCACTGTCTGTAAGTCACTGGAGGGTAACTTAAACTAGATTGAAGGTTACAATGACAAAAACATAGTTATATAGAATGTACGTTCTTGTTATATATAACTTTTAGTGTTTTAACAGATATAACAATAATTCTTTTCCATTATATCGCTATCTTTTTAGTTCGCTTATTTTTAACGTATTTATATTTTACTTAAATATTGTATTTTCAACCATTTACCACTCAAAATTTTCTTAATAAAAATGTTTTTAAATATACCTACTATATTTTGATTACTAACACACAAGGTTTCTAATTTATATCATTAAATAATTAACATTTATTTAAGAAATACGCATGTTAACATAATATTGTTAAATGAATAGTCAAATCTAACATTGAAATATTCCTGTATTTTTGATATATTTAAAGGGCAACTAAATATTCTTAAATTCAAGGCTGCAGTCATTAAGAAGTATCAGAAATCTTAGAGGTCGCTAAAATTAAAATAATAAGTTGGTAAAGCACCGCTTCAATGGAAATCAATTGTATTTTTTAAGGTATTTACCTGCTACAGAAAGTATAACCAATAACTACGAACAATTTCACTATAACCTATTAAAGATCATCAATGAGATAGCATTGTTAACAATTTATGTCAGCATCCTTTGCGTGTAATTTAAAAAAAAGATCTATTCTATGAGGCCGCTATAGATATTTATTGTATATAATATCCTCAGATCACCTAGACTAATGATGATAATGTAATATATTATATAAATAGCTGTTAGTGTATATAATAATAAATACATAATAATGACATGATGTATGTAAGCTTAGTTAAAATTGATCTTGTAAGTTAACCTACACCTACATAACTAGAAACCTCAAAATAAAAGCTATTTCATTTTTACGATCATT